GCAGTGCAGGCGTAGGGTGGTTAGAAAAATGAATCAACAACACTAAACAAATCTGAAAAAAAAACCGATACTGGATGGAATGAGGAAAGGGGGGGGGCAGTGAAATGCGTTAAATCAGAAAGCTCATCTGTGTTGTGCTCCTTATTGAGGCTGTTATTATTTTGCCAGGAAAGCAGGCTGTAATTACCATGTGAAAGCACAGAGGCTGCCCGGGGTTCGTGTGAATCCAGACGGAAGTGCTGAAAATGTTTGCCTAAGCAGGAAGGAAGACACTGCAGGTCAGCGTGCATCAAACTACAGATTAGGAACTTTGAAAATGTCAGGAGGCGGCTCTGTTTAACCTTTTTCTTGGCTATAGGACAAAAGGTAGAAAGAAGTACGTATTTGAAGCTTTTCTTTGCAGAAGTAGGAGGTTCACTTGTACACACAAAAAGCCTAAAAAAATGGGTGACCTTTCAGGGACCCGCTTTTTGTCATCGTATGTGAGATGAGAACTCACACTGTCACTTTTTAAACAGATTTTTGCCCCCAAAAAGTAATATCAAACAAACAACACAACTAAACTTTCCACACTTAAGCAAAAGTGTCTTTTAGATTTCTTATTCACTTCTATACACCCCTTTGCACACACACCATCCTTAAACTTTTCCCGGCTTGACTGTGCCTTATATTTCATATTCATGAGGATAACTTAGCTAAGCTTGATTGAAAGGTGCATCGGAGGGAGTCCTATCCCTGCTCAGCCAGAGACCTCCTCCACCACATCCTCCGGTCCCCTCAAATCAAGAGAGTCCATTCACAGCTCGCAGAGAGTGCACCAGAGAAATCAATAAGTGCAATGCTACAATATACTAGCGACAAATTGATTTCATCCAAAGGCAATTTCAACCCAAATAGAAATGCGGGTGGGTTTCAGCACTGAAGGGGTCTTTTACTGTTCCTTTCTCTCGATTAGCCCCTTATGTAGTTAATAAGTTTTATCCTCTTATATGTGTTGCTTATGGATTATATTGATCATTTTACACTTCTCCTGGGAGCTGCGAGCAGAGAAATGGTGGACCAATATGACAGCAACATCAAAGGCCTTGTAATGAATAAGACAGCTAGCTTGGACCCACTAAAGTACAGGAAGGGAAGAGTTTTGATCAGTGCTGCTTGATGTACAGGAGAGGATCCATCCTGATGGTTCAGGCTCATATCCTTCCCCAACAGTACACTGTAGAATGATGACAACTGCAACGGAACAAACTAGGACACAAGTGACTTGTTTCTTCCCCCCAGCAAGAGCTTGTTTAACTGTCAGGACCATGTGTGCAAAAAGCAGTGATATGATGGACCCTCCAAGATAAGTTTTTTTCTATAAAGAGATAAGTTGGTATTCAAGGTCCTAAATTTTGGACAGCCCTATCTACTCAAACTTGAACTGCATATACATTACAAAAAAAAAGATACCTGATGGAAATGAGACCTGGCGACAATCAGAACTGGTTTCAAGCATAATTAGATCTCATACAAAATGTGGTCGACCCAAACAGACCCAAAAAGAGAAAGAACACCAACACTGGTGGCAGCATGATGTGCCACCAATCAATAAGCAATCGCGGCTAAAAGAGTAGCTCCAGGTTATCCATACCCATGGTGGCAAGGAGAGGACAATCCATGGCTTACATTCAGGTGGACGATGTGTTGAACGGACTCACCGACAAGAAAATACAGGTTAGGTGCACTGGCTAGCTAAAACGTTAATTTAGTTATCTGTGCAGATAAGCAGCTTGCTAAAAAAATAAATAAAACTGTGAGCCCTGTTTCTGAGTGTAGTGTATTTCCTGTTATGAGGTTGTTGGCGCTGACTCTGATTTACTCCTTAAGAGTCAAACTTTTGTTTTTGAATGCCAAGGCATTTTACGTAACAAAGAAATTTGGCCGTTTAGTACCCGACCCTAACCTGGACACAATATTTTGGTCGTGATTTGGTTGTGCCAGACCTCTGGCATAGCTGATTTCAGCTTGTCAAATAAAGTAAATAAAACCCTTGGAAACGTTCAATCTGAAATCTGAGCTTTTCGCTCACATTGATAACTACTTTCGTTTACCTCATTATTTGCCTCATTATTAAAACTTACCACATTCAATATGAACATTGTAACATTTTATATATGACAGAAAATAGGGTAAAACTTTATAGGTCCCCTTTAACAAGAAAATTAGAAGATTCTGTTCTGTTTTATTCTATTCTATTCGTTAACAAGAACAAAAAATAGTAGGGTGAAACTCAAACACTCAGAGTTATGAAGAAGAGCAGATTCAGGCCATGGCTGTTGTGCATAACTTCCCCTCTACTTCATGGCTCGAGGCCACGGATGGCACATCAAACAGCAGCTTCTTACAGAGTCCAGCCCTTACTCCCTCAGCACTGGCTTCAACTTGGCACCACAATGAAGAGGACTGGCTTGGCGAAAAGCTGGTGGTGGTGCTGGACAAAAGCAATTCCCTAAGTATGGCGCAACATGCAAAAAATAATACAAGATGGAACATAACACACAAGCACATACTGTAGCTACACATGCACTCATGCATGGATGTGTTGTTTTGACTCTGGGGGATCACAGGGAAGGAACAGTTGAAGAGAACAATGAGAGACAACTGAATTATTTAGAAAGATGGTTTGGAAGCAGAAAAGACACAAGCTCAATGCAATGCCTCTTCCTTAAGAAAATCTAAATAAATGTTTTTTTGAATAAATTGAAATCTCTCAATACAGAAAGAAGTTTTTAATTCTTGTAAAAACTGATGACATGGTCTTTCTCATATTGCCTCAGTGTTTCCTTGACATACTTGTCATCACGATAAACATATATTCATGCATTTATGTAATACTGCTCCCAAAACAAGCTTTAGTGTATGCCACCAGATTGCACTGGGAGTTCATTCCCATAGAGAAATAAGGAGCAAAAGTAATTTCAAAGCATTCACCATCAACAAGGACATGCATGGCACTTTGTGGTGCTACCTAATAAATCATTCAAATTGTATTCCTCTTGCTTCTCTATGTGTAAAAGATAATACAGGAATTAATTTATGTTATCACTGCACAGGAGGACTAAATACAAAATACAACTGGGACAAAATACAACTGACCAGGACTTACTGATAACACTTTTACTTGCCAAAACCCAAATTGATTCTCCCTCCATTTTCACTCAGAAGATCTGTGAGGTTGAATTAAGCTTTTAAAATGAGTAAATAACACTTCTGACCTTGTGTTGCACAAATCATGAGCTGGTCCTGGCCCTGGCATGCCCCACTTAGCCCTGTACTGGAAAAGCTCTACGTCTTTTTTGCAAGTCAAGAGCTTCATTTTCTTACTGACCTCAGCATCAGGGCGCCTGAAGGAAACCTAGCAGCACAAGGATCCATTGTTCATAAAGAAGCAAAGCCACCCACACAATATTTTCCTACTTAGTACGCTATTTATCAGCAGTCACATTCACTATCTTCTCCAGCTTCTGAGGAAACATGTTTGATTCGATTGCTGAGTGGGTTGTAAATCAGACGAGATTTTTTGTGTGAGCTAGGGTGATGGGTGTAAATAACCAAAGAGATTAAGTATTTTCACAACATCGCAAGTCAGCATCATATCGCTTTGTGTGAGAGGGTTAATTGTGATAACAGCACCAGTTGGGTACTTTGGAGAAGAGGCAAATTGTCTGCATATTCCCATTTTCTGTGAAGGTGATCAAAGCAAATAAACAACTACAGCACATTGGCCATTTTTTTTTAAATAAAATGTGTTTGTACCCTAATATAATGTATTATATATGCAATTGTTTTTTTTGTGAAAGACTTTCTGAAAGCCCCCCCTTACTCCCTTGATCTATTTTCTCGATGACACTGATGATATCCTTACCAGTTTATTGTTAGATCATTGTGAAACAATAGTAATACCTGTTGCTAGTCTGTTGCTAATCATTTTAAAAACAGAGGGTGGACAACCTTGTACTAGGCAAATCAATTATTGATTAACAGTAGTTACTCAACAGTGGGATCATAGTTAAAATCAGCTGTAACATTTTTTTTAAATCATTAACGCCAAGGATATCAACTTGATGGTAAGGAAGTGAGTGGAGTGAATAATGTTTCACAAGTCTCAGGTAAGAGTCTGTCAAGCATTTACTTAATCCACCTCTTAGCTGTTACCTACATGTACACATATACAAAAAATAAATAAAAATAAAAATCAGCTTTTCAAATATCAGGCAGTTTCCATTTGACCGTCACCTTTTGTTCCCATTTCATTAAGCTCACACTGGTATGTGGATTGCCACCATTTGCTGAGACTGCTTCTGACTCAACTGTAAATGATAAAAAGTGACATTTCATACAATTTTTGGAGCACATTGTGTTACTCGTGCTGGACAGTATACCTCACTGTAAAAGCAAAACATGGGCCCATATATATATCTGGCAGTACAAATATCATACAATATATGTATAAATATCTGACATCAGCTAGTCTGATGCACCAGGTGGTTTGTTGCACAGAACCACCTGGGAAGTCGTTGTTTGAAACTTTGAAATTTGAAATATACTTGGCAGGTGATTGGATGGACCATGTATCTATCACCATCTATCCGTAGTGAGCTTCAACTTATCCCTATAGCTAAGGTTTCCAAATGATGTTTATTTGGTCAAAAATGTAGGCTTAGTTATCTGGTTTCTTAAACTAAAAATGAAATTAAGAAAGCGGTAGAGGTGTCCTAACATGTTAGGAGTTCCCAGCAGGTGGTGAATGAAAAGAGTAAACATGCACACTCACACGGAGGCATGGAAATATAGAATCCTAAACGTTTGATCTCAGATAAAAAATACGTTTTTTCAAAGACTGGGCTCAAGTTTAGACTGACCACATACTGAAGTTCTCAAAAGGCACTCTGTCACAAATACCCACAACAAGACAGCACAACAAATGTGAGTAACCAGTAAATAATTCATTCACTCACCTGTGAGGTTCTTCAGACCCAACTGGCGTAGGCCGAAGTTTCCATCACGTCTGTAATTGAGAAAGATTGCGAGGGAGTAGCGGTCCTCATACAGCTTGGTTCCTCGAATGATCCTCAAGTTCTCCAAAGGCAGGTAGTCAAACTGGTTCAGGGCCACCAACACATAGCCTGTCACTTCTCGGATAGACTGTGGACAGAGTTTTGGAGGGAGGCGTTAGTGTGTGTTTTAATTGCGCAATAATATTGTTGCAGAAATTTAATAAAAGAACACTTTAGGAAGCAAATCATTCTGTTATGTGAAAGACATGAAAGGAAAAACAGAAATCTGCCTTGTTGGATCTAAAAGCAAGTAAGCTAGTCCAAAAATCCAAGAGGACTTGAGGACACCATATTCATGTTTCTCCAGGGGTTTATTCTGAGGAGACAACAGTGTTTTCAGCCAACAATGAAGCGCTGCACAAAACACGCAAACAAAGGAAGTTTTACAATAGAGTGACAATATGCTATTTAAAATTATGCATTTCAAACTTAGCATGTGTAAGTAGAAGTGAACAAAAATATAAATACAGTTACTATTAGCTTTTCTTGGTAATTCAGTGTCTGTTTACCCTGACTATTGTGCTTTATGTGGAACGATTAGGCCTTAAAACAGGACCCATCTGTGATCTAGTCTTTTCCTCCTAAGACGTTCCATTTTTTTCTCCTCCATTTATTTTTCTCTGCAATCATTCATCCTCCTTAAAAACTAAGAGTCAATGTAGCACTGCACAATTTACACTAAACTGCTGTCTTACTGAAATTCTGTTTTTTTCTTTATTCTGTTGTTAGAATGTACCATTGACAATCAAGTATTATGACTTAAACCTTGTGTGACGGAAATATATGTAATTTTTAAAATATTTTTCTATATATGTAATTACAGCAAAGTTCCTGTAAGTTCTGTCTTTACCACACCACTTCCTATAACAACAAAATTAAACAACTGGATACAGTCTTTCAATTTTTTTCCCAGCTTGAATAAAGTCACATGGCATACACCAAATTTATGAATATGCATGCCGTGGCCATAGTGAAGCCTGCAGAACCAACAGAGCCATGTCACGCATTGCATATGTTGCCCAAGCAAAAAAAAAAAAAGATTATTAGACCAATGTTAATGTTAATTTTGTTGTAAAATGCAGTTTAAATTCTTTGCAATTTAATTATGGGTACTTGCAGGCTGTAAGCACTTTGCATATGCAGTTTAAAAATATGTACAAAAGCAGTAACAATATATCAAGAACTTGTTGAATCAAATATTTTAATTTAGTTATTTGGAGCTACCAAGAATGTTTCTTTCCCTGCCCTTCAGTATTTCTGGATTTATTATTTCATATTGAAGGTAATTCAATAGCTTTAAAAGTGTACGGAAAAAGTGTACGGAAAAGATACATGTATGTCATGCCAAAACAGTTGCCTCTGAAATGAATTAGGGAGGAACGGGATAAGGGGCAGAGGTAATGTTGTAGAGAAGAAAAACAAACAAAACAGAAAGTAATGAAGAAAAAAAAGTTAGGCATGCTATATCAGATCATTGACAACAGCTATCTTCAAGGTCACTTTGCACATATTCAATCATGCCAGCAAGTTGAGTACAAGCATCTGAGTGAGGAAAACTTGCTCTAGGGTTTGTGACCTCAATGCAAAACTTGGCACAGGGTTCAGCACTCATGTACGGGGTCCGGCCTAGGGTGACTGAGCCACAAGGACAGCCATTGCTTCACACTTTAAATGTCATTTAGGAGGGGATATAACGACTGTCGAGACTTTGGCAAGGAGCCACCCAGTTGGAACTGCTGTTGCATGAATCAAAGTGACAGGCTGTGTCCTCTTTCTCCCATCCACCATCATGGTGGCTGTCATTAACAGACAGGCGGTCAGAGAAGTCTTTCCACGCCGGCCGCTGATGCAGATAATCAACAAGTCTGTGTGTGAAGTGCTGTTGCAGCTGATGTGGTGAGCTGAAATAAGTCCTAAGGAGGGCCCTGGCAGCGTAGTCATGGCGGCTGACAGCTGTCAGAGAGCATGGCCATCAGCCACCAGTAAGTAAGCCGCAGTCACAGCTCCGTCATCATTACCCTGCTGATTACCATTAATAGAAACAGACCGGCCAGAGTTTGGTGAGTCTGTGTGTATTTATATGAATGAGTGATGGGGAATTATATTCAGTGTGTATGTTTATCACTTAACTAGTTGGAAAAGAAGTAAGCTACTTTGTGTAGATAAACATATTCTAACAGTTGGAGAATCACTGACATTGTGCAAAGTTGATGCATCATTGTTGTATGCATGTGAATCTGTCTACGTAAATCATGAGTATATGTAAAATATGTTAAGCTTCTTTGATATGTGTATATGTTGTATTAATCTATGCCATCAGTGAGAACACAGAGTTAGACAGCCTAGGCCATGCTTCACACTTTGACTTTTTCACTAGCCAAGAGCTGAGGCCTGTTGGATGACTCAAATTCATCCTGCTGGGGGTTTCAAGGTCTTTTCTACCCTGCTACACAACCAAATGCCTTCAAGTCTATGTAGTCCAGTGACATTGCCCTGGGCACTGTGCCATAAACTATCTTCCCAATCTAGGATCCAGGTACTTTTTCATACTACCAAAAGGCACACAGCGGCAAGACCAATCAACCCTGAATCTAAGCATATACAGTAGCTGATAATTATTATTTCAGGGCACACACTTCATGGGTGCTTTTTTACACTTTTTTTTCCTGAGCCTGTTTATTACCTCGCTCGCACGGTTGCCGGTTTGTTATTTTCAAGCCACCAAATCAATACTTTCCAAAGTGCAGCCTTGCAGAGGGAAATAAAACGAGGGAGAAAGAAGATGGCAGGTACACACGCTTTTCTCCCCACAGATTGTTCAATAATGAACTGCATGAAAAAAGGGAAACAACTTGTAGTGATTACAGGCCCTTGCTGAGCTAATGGCCAAACTGGCTCTGCATGGTCACTTTCATTAAACACAGATCAACAAAACAAGCACCCCACTCCCTGCAACACCTCTGCAGGCCAAGTGCATCGTATGACTTCAGGGAAACAGGCACTTGGATTACAGCAAGCTTTAACACATGCAAGTGCCTAAAGGAATACAGCTAAAATATGATATCCAATGCTGAGTTTGGCACATGTGCCAGTGAAGTAGCATATTAATTTTGTGTGACCTCCTCTACAGTATATAGCTACAGTGCAATTAGAGCAGTAAATTAACTTCTAAAGATAACAACATGACACATTGTTGTCCTGAATTTTTCCCAGTAAAAATAGTTCTTCTTATAGTCTCTATATACCTCTTATACCTCTTTTATCTTGATGGGCAGTGTTAGGAAGGTTACTTTTGAAATCCAGATTACTAGCTACCCTGTTAAAAATGCAAAAAACAAATGTAACTATTTTGATTACTTCATCAGTGTAAGTTATTACATTTGTTACTTTACTAACAAATGTTTTATTTTGGATACATTTTTGAGTGTCACAACCCCTGCAAAATGAAGAAATTAGAATATGATCCATTTGGTTTGATAATATTATAAAGACTAGAAGAGCTGCACAAATCAATCATTTCAACCCCATTTATGTCAGCAGAGGTCTAAACCGGTAGTAAGTGGGCTCAGCTACCAAAAGTCTGGCCACAGCGACCCATAGAGCAGACGCAGTATGCATTAATCCAGGTAATTTCTTTACAGCAGGCAGTGGCTTTTTTGGCTTCATGCGCCACTGAGCAACTTTCATAGGAACGAATGGAGCACCGCCTCCAACGCCTTATGCAGTTTTTCCTTAATACATCCAGGAGAGCAATGCACATTGATTTAATTTGATTGGGCTAAACACATACTGCCCACTGAGTAGAGTCTGTAGATGTACAGTCAACTTTTTGAAAGCCATCCTACCCTTGATGGCGTTGACCTGCATTGTCAGGAAAAATGCCAAAAGAAGGCATTCCTGCAAGGCAAAAAGATGCAAACCAACGGAACATTTTGGTTAGTAACTGTTAGTACATTAACTGTAACGGATTACAGAAGCCCAAGTTCTAATGGTCTTTTCGTTCTTATTCCAGTTCAGTATAGCTTTTAACACGCTCATCTCTTACAGTAAATAGGCATAGCTATTCCAGATTCAAACAGGAAGGTGCAAACTGTTGATCATCCATAATCCCTTCAGTGAATAAATATCTTTTTCTTTTTAACTGAGATTGCATAAAGAGTGGGATATTAGACTCTTTTACCCCATGTAGACTAAACTGTGTAGTAACCCCCCAACTCACCCAACCCTGCACACAACACTTGCCTCCCAAGAGATCAGTGCGTCAGAGTCCCAGTAACAGTGAACAAAAGAGACAGAGAGAGCCAGATTCACTAGATTAACAGGGATTTCTCCCTCCTCCCTCCTCCCCATGCTGGAGCATTTGTGAACGGAAGTGTGGCAGCGGAACAAACCCCTCACTTGAGTCACAGAGACGTGCGCGGTTTTGAAATCGAGTCCTTCAATCCCAACTTCTAAAAGAAGAAGAGAGGGAGGGAGGTTTTTGGGTAGAGCTGGCAAAGGAAGGAAGAAGAAAGGATCGAGAAGGAATGGGAAACAGAGATGGTTGGATACACACTGCAGGAGGAGGAGCTCAGTCAAGTGCATCAGACTAGATTTACGTATATTTTAATGCATAATTAAAACCACACCTGTTCCAGGTCAGGAAAGAGACAAAGAGAGAGCAAAAGGTCTAAGGAGGGGTGAAATGTTTTGAGGGGTAATGCAGGGCTGAAAGTGCATAGACACCATTAGCATGTTTGGAGAGACTGAACACACGTTAGCATGATTGCCTCTCATTTCCATACATATTGAGGCATACCGACGTGCTCCACAGGGCTACGGTCATTGAAGTCTGATACACAGGAGTGCACTGGGGGGGCTTAAAGTTTGCCTTGCATCACTAAGTCCTCATCCTCTATTTCCATATCGCTTCCCTAAACCCTCTGCCTGAGCTCACATCCACATCTGTAAACAGACACAGAATCCGGATGGAGTGTCTACAAGTATAAGTGAGAAAATCCTCCTGACTTTTTCCAGGAGCTCATCCCTCAGTGTAACTGACAACCTACTGGAAATATTGCTTGTAATTGTCCCATTTTAAAAAGTGAA